CAAAAAGTAGTATACTGCATTGTAACAATTTTTGTGAAAACATCTATTCAAGTACATATTGTTGGAAATATAATATAAACTACGCGTTTTCACAAAATATAAAAAAAATTTACACAACTGTTTCCATTGTAACATTTCCTTATTTATACAAAACTTATTTCGACATAAAAATACGTAGAACATCGCTAATAATAATACGTAGAACATCGCTAATAATAGTAATTTGACGTAATTTTGCTCTCTAATTTGTAGATCAAGTCGTAGCAATGTAATTATAAGTTTCGACCGAAAACTACGAAAATCTACAAAATTCTAATTCTAGCATTTTATTGTAGTATACTGTATTTTTATGGACATAGAAATTTGTAGAATACCAGTATTTTTTGTAGTTTGACGTAGTTTTACTGAGAATTTCATAAATCAAGTATACAATAGAAAAGTACAACAAATTATAAAAGTGTTCCAATTCTAGCATTTTTATGTAGATTTTTGTAGTACATTGTAAATTCAAGTAGATTTTTTTAAGCACTTTGTAAATTTATGTAGAATTTCATTGATTCTGACACTTATTTTTGATCGTTTTTGTACTTTATTTTTATTTTTTGTATAAATTTGTAAAATTTTTTCCGCTAGGGCGGCTTCCATTCGTACGGTACTCAATTTCCTTGCTTTTGAATCATTCCTAATGCTTTTAAATGTTTGGCAACTGTTGTGTGATCAACTCCTAATGATTCTGCAAGTTCATTTTGTGTCTGACATGGGTTGTTCAAAAACCTATTTTAGAAATTCGGTAAGATCGAACAATTAATCGAATCGCAGAATCATATTTTTTTGAACACGATATAAATATCTTTTATATAATTATAGCAAGTCTGTTTCGAGGCAACGCTAGGCGAGTGTCAAACGCGAGGCGAATGTTAATTTTCTTGTTTTCAGGAATTCATTCCTTCTCCGAGCTCTGACAATATTACATATATATTTAGAATCAGAATTAAAGATAAAGGTGTGAAGTTTTACAAAACAAGATAACATTTTGAAAATTTCATAACGATACTCCCACGATGGGAGAGGCGATAAAACGAATTTATTTACGAAAACTTCCCACGAAGGGTGAAAAGATATTTAATTATCTTTTAACATATCGAATACCTCACGATGAGAGAAAACTTTGTTTATTACATAATTGAAAATTCCTCTTATTCGAACTCCTACGATAGGAAAAGAGAAAGTTGTTCCTTTCAGAATGAATATATTCATCAGAAGGACTATTTATTAATTCTTTTCTTAATTTCAGATCTTAATTCAAATCTAGAACTTGACCAAGCATAGAAAGATTCTATTCATCCCTAATTCCTGGATTCCTAGACTACCCAAACTGAATCTGAGAGACCTCTCTTATAGCTGAACCCATCATAGAATTCAAAAGGATCTACTATCATCGGATGATATCAAGACATTAAAATTCAGATAAATATTAATTTTTTCTATAATTATAAGAGTAACTCTATTTTGTTTTGGTTTAATACTGTTCCTTCTTATCGAGTTCTTTTTTTATTTTTCCAATTTTAAAGAATTAAAAGAATTAAAATTTTTCTAAAAGCGTGAACCAGAGAGATTTAATTTAAAACACGGGTCTTCATCGAGTAATGATACCAATTCTTCATTTTCAAACTTTTTCAGTGCGCCAGAGCGTCCTTTATCTTCAACATCAAAATCATTATTTTTAAAACTTCTAAACCAATCTCTGCATGTTGTTTCTGATGATGGTCAGAGCATGGTCGCCGTAAGTCTCCACAAGAATTCTATGTGATCCAGCTGCAGATCTTTTTTGAAAAAAGTATCTTAAAAAAGTGGTCTGGTTGCCAATACTGCAAAGTATTGTATTATTAAGCGAGTGCTTTGGAGTCGAGAAAAGAAAATAATTAATTGATAATCGTTGTGCATGAAATGAATGAAATGTGTAATTTAATTTCTAAAATACAAGAGATAAATATAACATTTTACTTTTATTACAATATGAATGTTAAACGGTTCATTTATGTTTGTTGTACTTGAAGTGCTATATCGGATTGACATAATTATTTGATGTTTTTCTAATTTGTATTTTATTTAATGAAACAATTGAATGTTAACACTCAATATCTCAGTGTTTTTTTCGTAAGAGGAAGGTCAAATACAGGAGTGAAACATCTGAATTTTTAATAATATATTGAGTGTCAATTTTTGCAAGTAAATTATTGTCATATTATTCACAATTTACATCGTGTGCGGGCTTAAATTGACTACTTTGTAAGAATATTATTCATTATTTTCTATGAACATTATGTAGGACAAGACTAACATAAAAACTGAAATGTATTAAATAACACAATGCATAGCTTACGATAAAAGTTATTATATAACTTTTGAATGCATATGACTCACTTATATTTTTCATTATGTATATATTAGCACAGACGACTTAGGTGTATGATAAATATTTTTGCATTCTCAGAGTATTAATTATTAGGTAAATCGGAAAGTTCCGTCCATCTAGCGGCAAATAGCTATAGCTAGAACTGTCGTTAACCTCTAATGTCTAAACGAAGCTTAATGGTTTGTTTTGACATCTGTCAATAACATTTAGTACATAAAGGTATACGTTTGCATCAATAATTGTTTTTTACTGCATTGAAAATGTCGAAATTTGAGCCAAACAAGCGTCATTTGCGCGAAATGTTAATTTTTTGCTTCAATTGGAAGAAAACTGCAGCTGAAGCTCATCGAATGCTTGTAGAAGTTTATGGTGATGATACTCCTTCCGATAAAACATGCAGAGAATGGTTTTGACGCTTTAAAAGTGGTGATTTTGATGTAGAGGACAAAGAGCGTTCTAACGGCCAAGAGTATTTAACGGCGAAGACGAAGAATTGTAGACATTGGTGGACGAAGACCCATGTTAAATGCAAAAGCAACTTGCAGAAACATTACATTGTGCTCAATCTGTCATTTCCGATCGTTTGAAAGCCTTAGGAAAGGTTTACAAGGAAGGAAAATGGGTCCAATATGAACTGAAGCCAAGAGACATTGAAAGGCGAAAAGCTACTTGCGAAATTCTGCTTACTAGGCAACAAAGAAGTTTTTATATCGTATCATCACTGGGAATGAAAAATGGATTTATTTTGACAACCCCAAATGTCGTAAACCTATTTGCGATCCCGGCCAACCCTCAACATCGACGCCAAAACGGAATATCCACGGAAAGGAGGCAATGCTCTGTATTTGGTGAGATCAGAAGGGTGTGTTGTACCATGAGCCAAATAGTGGTCAAACAGTCACAGAGGATCTCTATAGAGAACAAATGATCCGTTTGAGCCTAGCATTGAACGAAAAACGACTAGAATATGAAACGAGACAGCATAAAGTGATTTTGCTTCATGGCAACACTCGGCTCCACGTCACAAAATCTGTCAAGGAAACATTAGAAGCACTTCGCTGGAAAGTGTTACCCCATGCGACTTATTCACCAGTCTGTGCCCCTTCCGACTACCACTTGTTTCGGTCTATACATACTTGCACACATACTTGCTAACGAATGCTTCATTTCTTATGAAGACGTCGAAAAATGGAAAGGTCTCTGACTGGATAGCCTCTAAAGATGAGTTATTTTTTCGCCATAGAATTCGCTTGTTGACCGAAAGATGGAAAAAAAGTCATCGCTAACGATGGACAATATTTTGATCGACGTACTTTTTCATTTTGTTTCTTAAATAAAGTCATACGTTTTGCAAAAAATGGACGGAACTTTCCGATTGACCTAATATTTATATTTTATGGTAGCATAATTTTTGTGTGTGTGGTAGCTTGTATTTTTCCTCTTTTCCATCATTCTTCTTCCTATATGGCATAAGTTAAATGTATAGGACTGTGCTGTAGTGACCCCTAGGGAGTCACACTTTTACGTATTAATAACTCAAAAACGATATTTGAATTTTATTCTGTTGTCAATAAATTAAATTTAAAGTATAAGAAAAGAAACTCGCTACATTAAAGGTTCTTGACTCGCATATAAAAAACTCGATGTATCTTATTTTTCGAATATCGGAATCCAAACCAGTAGTCCTGCCCATCGTGCTATTGTCTTGTTGTCTTCTCTGTTAACGTCACTGCCGCTGATTTTACATCTGCTTTACTCATTTAGTTTTTCGTCGATGCTGTTACCAATAATATTAGAAAACGTGAGAAAACATTCTGCTTACTATTCGTTCTTTATCCTTAGCTCGAGTAATCAAACTTTTCTACGGTTACTCCTCAATCCCGTAAACGACCAGCCAAGAACATATGATAAATCTACATCATTCGCTTGTCACTGCTCTGCTCATTTGTATTTTTTCATATTGCCTAATGACCGAATAAAATATTTTATATAGTGCGAGAGATAATAGTAGTAAATTATGAGAAGTGCGCGTGTTATATGTGTCTATTAAAAACAATTATATCTTACGGGTCCATTTCGCACGTATGTGATTCGTGACAATCAAAGGATAAACATATTAAGGATATAGAAAAATATAAATTGTTCTAACGGGCAAGTGGCTTGCAACAAACGAGTTAGCTCTGGGTTGGTTAATCATAACGTTCGCCAGATTAATTTTATCGGTGATAAAGAAATAATATAATGTCGAACATTTTAAAATATTAACTATATATACGAATGTAATAAAATAACTTTTATTTAGTAACTTATGTGAGACGAGCACTTATTTGCAGGATTTCAGTTTGTATATAACGGAAATATATACGTAGATTATCCCATATTCAAGTATAATTGAATTTGTCAACAATATACGATATAGCAAGGACAACTTATAAAACCTTGTTCAATTCTCTGAAATATCGTCAGTTACGTTTGAACTCTACATTCTAATCCATACTACTCTACGTGCATTACCAATGCATGCTTAAAAATTAATATTATATTTAACATATCTATTAACATCAGTTTAATAACATAAATCAGCATGAGTAAAATCCTTTGCTTCAAGCTAATACAGTCTGTTCGTTTGAACCAACAGAACTGTAACGCGTGGTTTTATCCCAACTTTTGTCACGTTTGTAAGAAGGAAAATATTAACGGTTTGTTATCTTGTGGTGAATGCGATATGATTTCTTACTGTAGCAATGAGCACAAACAGAAACATTATGAGAAACATATGGAGATCTGTGGATATCTTAAAGAATACATAAAGTCGCATATGAAAAACGAAATTGAAGTAGATCACATGACCTGGACAAATTCAAGGCTTGAATTTCTGAGTTCAATCAAGAAACGTCTTCCACGTAAGCTAGAACTATATGAAGAGCAAATGATCCTTTTCGCAAAATCATGTTTTAGTTGTCATCAGCAGATTGATCTGCAGTATTGCCGAAAATGCTGTTCCGAAAATTACTGCGTTGTACACGCGTCAGAATTTGAAATTCAACATGAATCAAGATGTGATGAGTTGCTGTTATGTATTGAACTAGATATGTCATATCTCAATAATCCTTTACTTACAAATAAATTCACTGGAATTTTATGGAGACACAAATTTTCAGAGGACATGGTGAATTTTATTGACTACCACGTGCGAAAAGTTGCTATGTACAAATCGAGGGGAATTGAATATTGGCAACCTGGTTCTTATCTATACTCCGATTATGTATCAGGACCATTGACATTGTTTTATGCGATAAGGAATGCGAATTTGTTGCACTTTCTAAATATACCATCACCTAAATGTGTCATTCATATAGTAGTATCTACCTACCATGATATTGAATATTTGGCAGTTTGGGAATTGCTTTCTCATATTTTATACCCTGCTATAAAATTATTAAAAATTGTCCTGATAGGACAAGAATTGACAGAGGAGGTTGACAGTATCCAATTTTGTTCTTTCTGTATTAAAAAGAAGCTAAGGATTAATTATGAATTTTGCCCTAAATTGTATTGCGATTATATGAAATGTCAAACATATGAGAAACCAAGTGTAGTTGTAGGGTTTCAAGCCGATTGTAAAGATAAAGAAACGTTGTCAAATCTCATGCCCCTATTCCAAATTAGGAGTTGCCCATTGCTTTTAACTACTACTTCAAAAACTAAAGCAATAATTAACGTTAATGAGATAAATGCTGCACTAGGTACAGATGTGAAACCTGTGTATGAGGAAGAAAATAAATTTCGTTCTTATAAACCACTGAGAGATCTTGAGAATGGATATGTTTACTTTCGTAATATGTATGTATCTATTTATCCGAACATAGAGGATAAACCTGGTCCATCTGACGCGATTTAGTAATCTCATGGAATGTAAAGTATATCTTTCCACTTTGACGAAATTGTTGTGACAAATATGCAAAATGGATTATTTTTTTATGAATCAATGTATATTTTTTATGAATCAATGTATATTTGGAAATAAATAATCTGTATTAACATAATTTATTTCTTAATTTTCAATTAATTCCTTTCTTAAGTTCCAATTAATTTTGTAAGATCTCTTTTTATGATGTACGTGAATTAAATTATATAGATACAGGGTGTCCCATTTTAATGTTCCACCCCAAATAATTCTTCAGTATTGAAGTTCCAAGGAAAATGATCTCAATAAAAGTTATAGGGATTTAAATGAACTACCTTACGATGACCTTGACTTTGACCTCTATTTTCAAGATCATTTGAAGGTTAACTTATGTTTTTTAAATGGGAACCCTTATTTTGTATTATACTGTTTTTTACTAGTTAATTTGAACAACTTTTGTCTAAAACATTTTTTTATTTGTCTAATATTTTTTGAGATATTTAAGGAAAACTTGATAACTTTTTCAGTATTTAACTTACGATATTTCGCTAATTATTTGTCGGAAGAAAAAGTATAGCGCCCTGATTTTTGTTAATTTGATGATTTTGAAATTTCCAAAAATCAGTAAGTTAACAAAAGTCGGGGCGCTATTGTAACAATATATTCTTGAGACTAAATAAAGCAAGAAAGTCTAGTACCACTTTTTCTTCCGACAAATAGCTAGGTAATTTAATAAATATTGATACAGTTATCAAGATTTTCTCAAATATCTCAAAAAACATTAGACAAATAAAAAAATGATTGATTTGTGAATGATGAATTTAGATAAAAGTTGTTCAAATTAATTAGTAAAAAAAACAATATAATAAAAAATAAGGATTCTTATTTAAAAACATAAGTTGACTTTCAAATGACCTTGAAAATAGAGGTTAAGGTCAAAGTCAAGGTCATCATAAGGTAGCTCATTTAAATTCCTACAACTTTTATTGAGATCATTTTCCTTAAAACTTCAATACTGAAGAGTTATTTGGGGTGGGATATTAAAATGGGACACCCTGTATATAGGTATTATTGTGATGTTTCTTTTTATAATATACTATTTCAATGAATTTATAATTGTGCATAGATATTATTGATAAATCGCATATTTAAATTAAATCATGTTGTTACCATGTTAATATTTAAGACACAATATGTCGAAAATAATGAAATATAAAGTATTTAAAATATTTAGAATCTGTAGTATCATTATGAAACAAACAGCTAAAAAATATATCTTTGAGCGTTGTACATTTATACTAGTTACAAAAAAATGTGCAGGTATCTTTGACATTTATATTTGCTTTTTTACATATAGAATTCAGCACCTGGACATAAAGATTTTATAGGTTTATAGTTAGAGAGGCATATTTTTCGAACTGATAACAATAGTATAGAATAGATATTGTGAATAATTGCTTTTGAGGCAGAATAATAATGTGTAAAATATTAACTCGTAGTCATTTTCCCATGATGAATTAACTCTACTCTGGATTACACATTTTCATTGTCAAGCATTAAACATCGTACGCAGTTATTTGGATGTCGATCACAGATTCGAAATATCTTGATCGACAGTTTGATCCATGATCAGCTTCTCTTGTGGCTTCTCCCATATTGTTCGATAATATATTAATTATTTCGAATATTATAATATATTACTTATTTTGATATTTGGAAAGTAAAATTAGCAGAATGGTAGGGGACTTTCCTGTTCAGTTTAATACGTTCTACCTGCACATTTGTTTTGTGTCATTCATTGTTAGACATCCTACATATTAATAATCTATTTAATAAAAGAGTTTAATAAAATTGATAAAAAGGTTTAAAGTAAATATTTATATAGAATTTACATTTTAATGGTAACGTTTTAGAAAAAAGCTTTAGCAGAAAGAATTAAATATCTCGAAGAGCATGCGCCGAAGTTTCAGCATAATTTCGAATCAATTGACCAAGTAAAATTCACCCATCATAGTGACGAGGAATTACCTACAAACAAAGACAAAATAACTATATATGTGTATTTTGTGAAGTCGTAGCTACTATTCAAATATCTCAAAAAAGGGGGCTAGTTGCCAATACTGCAAAATATGGTATTGATATATAAGCGATGCATTGGAGTCGAGAGGAGAAAACAGTTTATTGGTAATCATTATGCATGAAATGAATGAAAAATGTAATTTAATATCTGAAGTACTAATTTAATATCTGAAGTGAATAGATAAACATAACAATTTGCTTTTATTACAATATGAATGTTAAACGGTTCATTTATTTTTGTTGTACTTGAAATGCTATATGAGACTAATATAATTATTTGATATTTTTCTAATTTGTGTTTAATTTGATCTAAAAATTGTAATTCAATGTTTAAAGAATAATATTTAAATAAAAGATTTTGTATCTGTTCTGTTAGTTATTCTAGTTAGTTTTAATGGCTTAATATAAATGGCTATTGCTACAAATCTACTAGAGATATTTTGAAAGTTGATACGCCATTTTAAATAGCTTGGACATTTGACAAATAATTTAGCACATAGTATATATATTCGTGAACATAACAACACTTTTTGTGCGATTGAAAATGAAGCATGGTAAAAAGCATTTTCGACATTTACTGCTTTATTTCGACTCGTAGAAAATGACTGCTAAAGCCCACCAATTCATCTCAGAAACTTATTCTGACTTTTCTCCATCGGTTAAAACATGCATATTGCATTGGTATCAGCAATTTCGACTTGGTGATTTCGATTTGAAAGACAAAGAACGTTTAGGTCGATCAAAAAAGTGTGAAGATGTCGAATTGCAGGCATTATTGGATGAAAACTCAGCTTAAACATTTCAAGAACTAGCTGAAATAGTAAATGTTGGTAAATCAATTGTTTCAGATCGTTTGCATGCAAAGAGGAAAATTCAAAAAGATAACAAATGGGTTTCACATGCATTGTCTGAATTGACTATTCAAAATTGTTTAATCATTTGCACTTCATTGTTTTCTCGTCACAAAAAGAAGCAATTCTTGTATCAAATTATAACTAGAGATAAAAATTGGATCTACTATGATAATCCTAAGCGTAAAAAGTCATGGATAAGTTCAGACCAACCATCGACATCGACTCCAAAATACGGAAATGAGGTTTTATTGTGCATTTAGTGGAACGTGAAAGGAGTCGCATAGTGGGACAAATGACAATTCTAGCGCGACAGAATTCAAATGAACATTTTTTTTATCAAAAGTGACATATTCTATATTTTTTGGGCTGCTGATTCCGAATTTGAGTGTATTTTGTAATTTGAGCCCTTTTAAAAACAATAGTTCGGAAAAATAGACCTAACAATTTGCACAAATTAATCTTTTTTTGGGTTCTAAAATAATAATGATTTAATATCATTGTAAAATGATAGATAATAATATGATGATTGTAGTAGCGCGTAGTACAAGCCTACGTAGTAAGGGAGATTGGGGCAAGTAGTGACAGGGCGCAAAGAGTGACAGTTCGAATTTCTCTTGTTTCTCGCTCTTCATTTTTCTTAGCTGTCAATAGTGAGTAAGTTCTCAAACATCTAACTATTCTTAAAAATTGCGATTGAGTTAATGAAGTCAAATATAGCTAATGAAGAATCTTAAAATCTTGTCCTCGTGAAACAAGATATAACCTAACCTTTATTCAAGTATTCTAATTAACATTGTTTTAACTTCTGATCCCCTGAATGAGATTTAACCTATACAGAGTTGTACGCAACATATTTATTTTATTGTGATCTAACCTATATACTTGTATATCAATTCGACTTCTCTGAAAAATGTTTTAAAGAAAAAAGGTAACCGCTGGGGCAAAAGTGACAATTTTTGTGCGGTAAATAGTGACAAGCTTATCTAGAATAAGAGGTTAAGTTAATCTATTCTTGGAGAATCTAATGAACAATTTTACTCCTATGCTAGGTAGCGTAATGTCCAAACTTCAGACAGTAATGACATAAACTATTTTGTTTATCATCATTTTCACAATGGTTAGAAATTATAAAAAGAAAACAAACAGAGAAACTGCCACTCCCAATGAACTTACAGCTGCAGTAAAACTGGTTCGTGATGGATGGTTTATCAGAGCAGCTGCCCGATAGAAAGGACTTAATAGGTAGACACTATGGAAAACAGTTCATCGCACTACAAACTTGGAAAATTTGGACGAGAACTCCAATTATTTTCAACTGAGCTGTGGAAGAAAATCCATCTTCCCAAAAAAGTTAGAAGATGAAATTGCTGAATATTGTATTAATATATTTAGAATGGGCTTTGGTTTAAGTGTAATTAAAGTTAGGGAATTGGCATATGAGACAGCTATTAAAAATAATCTTCAAATACAAGAAAACTGGACAATCAGTAAAATAGCTGGTATTGATTGGTTTCAAGGTAAAATATATCTCACTGAGATAGTTTGTCGCTATTCAAATATTAATTCTTTTATGATTGATTCAAATTATTTATTTATTTAAAGATTTCAAAATACGACATACAAATATATCAATTCGAGTTCCAGAAGGTTGTAGCATTGCTCGTGCTTCAGCATTTAATAAGAAAAATGTTGATAATTTTTTTAACAAGTTGAACGAAGTTGTGAAAAGGAATTCTTCCTTTATGAATGGATCCAGACTTTACAATATGGACGAAACTAGCACTAGCACAGTGCAAATTATCCGAAAAATTGTCTCTTTTAAAGGTGTAAAGCAAGTGCATCAAGTGAAGAGTGCGGAGAGAGGTACTTCAGTAACAATCTACTGCTTTATTGGCGCTCATGGAATGGTAATACCTCCAGTTATGATTTTCTCTCGCAAATATTATAAGAGTAATATGGTATTGAATGCTTTCCCTGGAACACTTGGACTAGCCAATAGCAAAGGCTATATGACAAAAGAGACCTTCGTCGATGTTATGAAACATTTTGTATAGTGTTCAA